GCCTCAGCCTCCTGAGTAGCTGGGATTACAAGCACGAGCCACCATGCCCAGCTGATTTTTTGTATTTTTAGTAGAGACGGGGTTTCACCATGTTGACCAGGATGGTCTCGATGTCTTGACCTCGTGATCCACCCGCCTCGGCCTCCCAAAGTGCTGGGATTACAGGCGTGAGCCACCGCGCCCGGCTCTAAAAATGTCTTTGATAGGCCAGACGAGGTAGCTCACACTTGTAATCCCAGGCGTGCTTTGGGAGGCCGAGGAGGGCAGATCACGAGGTCGGGAATTTAAGACCAGCCTGACCAACATGGTGAAACTCCGTTTCTACCAAAAATTAGGTGGACACCTGTAATCCCAACTATTGAGGAGGCTGAGGCACAAGAATTGCTGAATCAGGAGGCAGAGGTTGCAGTGAGCCGTGATTAGGCCACAGCAGTCCAGCTGGGGTGGCAGAGCAAGACTGTCTCGGGGGGGAGAAAGTCTTTGATAAAGCAGTAAAAAATATTTTACCAAATTTTGACCCTTGAAAACATATTTTTAATATTCTATGTAATAAAATGAAATGCTTCTGCCACATCCCAGGATATGAAGCTTGTCTTATATCCAAGTATGAGGAAAGCGCTTGTGCAACTGAGCCACAAATCAGCTGCATTGGCCACTTTTTACTTGGAAAAAAGTGACTGACAGAAAAACTATGATTATTCAAAGTAAGGTATTTGGCAGGCATTTTCTCAAAAATGAAGTGATCATTTTTGACCAAAATTCTAGATTTTTAAGCAGAAATTAGAATTTGTTTATTATTTTCATTCATCTGTTACAAAATCACATTCATTAATATCACTAATCTTATCAGATAAGTATTTAAAGAATTGGCAAATTGATGGATGTATTTTAATTGATTGTAGTCATTTATTTTGGTGATGTTCACGTTGTCCCATCTCTGGCCAGTGGCTGTATTTTAATTGATGGTCGTCATTTATTTTTGGTAATGTTCACATTGTCCCATCTCTGGCCAGTGGCTACTGCTTCAAGTTAATCTCTCTTTACCTGACCCCAGTAGTCTCTGACAACATCCTTGCTTTTGGGCACAGCAAGGTGACCTTGTTTCAACTTCTGCTTTCTCTGACCTGGACTCAACCATTTCTCCAAAGTGCCTTCTTTGCTTTTTTTTTCTTTTCTTTTTTGACAGAGGATCCCCATGTGTCACCCAGGCTGGAGTGCAGTGACGAAATCATGGCTTATTGCCTCAACTTCCTGGGTTCAAGCAATCCTTCCACCTCAGCCTCCCGAGTAGCTGGGACTACAGGTGTGTGCCACCACACCTGGCTAACTTTTTTTGTAGAGCCTAGGTTTCCCCAAGTTGTCCAGGCTGGTCTCGAACTTCTGGCCTCAAGCTGTCCTCAGCCTCAGCCTCCAAAGTGTAGGGGTTGCAGGCATGTACCACCATGCCCTGCCAACTTTATTTTCTTTTCTCTATGCTAAAAACCTTGGTTCTTAATAACATGAATAACATTCTTGTCAGATTATATCTGAGAATATAAAACTAAAATATTTTAAAGTCACTTGAAATAAGTCTTGGTGCTTATGCCATTAACTTGATAAACAAGATTCTGGCCAGGCATGGTGGCTCACGCATGTAATCCCAGCACCTTGGGAGGCCAAGGCAGGTGATCACTTGAGACCAGGAGTTCAACATTAGCCTAGCCAACATGGCAAAACTCCATCTTTACTAAAAATGCAAAAATTAACAGAGCATGGTGGCACACACTTACAGTCCCAGTTACATGGGAGGCTGAGGCAGGAGAATCACTTGAACCTGGAAGGTCAAGGTTGCAGTGAGTCAAAATCGTGCCACTACATTCCAGCCTGGGCAACAGAGCAAGACTGTCTCAAAAAAAAAAGGGTGGTGGGGCTGGGCACAGTGGCACATGCCTGTAATCCCAGAACTGCCAGGTGTGGTGGCTCACACCTGTAATCCCAGTACTTTGGGAGGCCAAGGTGGGCCTCACCTGAGGTCAGGAGTTCGAGACTAGCCTGACCAACATGGAGAAACCCTGCCTCTACTAAAAATACAAAATTAGCCAGCTTGGTGGCACATGCCTATAATCCCAGCTACTTGAGGGGGCTGAGGCAGGAGAATCGCTTGAACTCAGGAGGCAGAGGTTGTGGTGAGCCAAGATCGTGCCTTTGCACTCCAGCCTAGGTAACAACAGCAAAACTCTGTCTCAAAAAAAAAAAAATCCCAGCACTTTGAGAGGCTGAGGTGGGTGGATCATGAGGTTAGGAGTTCAAGACCAGCCTGGCCAAAATGGTGAAACCCTGTCTCTACTAAAAATGCAAAAATTAGCTGAGTGTGGTGGCACGAGTCTATAGTCCCAGCTGCTCAGGAGACTGAGGCAGGAGAATCGCTTGAACTTGGGAAGCAGAAGTTCTAGTGAGCCAAGATTGCACCACTGCACTCCAGCCTGGGGGCAACAGAGTGAGACGCCATCTCAAAAAAGGTGGGTTGTGGGGGGTGAATTTTTTTTTTTTTTTTTTTTAGGGGGGGTCTTGCTCTGTCACCAGGCTGGAGCATAGTGGCACGGTCTCGGCTCACTGCAACCTCCATCTCCCGGGTTCAAACGATTCTTCTGCCTCAGCCTCCTAAGTAGCTGGGACTACAGGTGCATGCCAAACGCCCGGCTAATTTTTTTTGTATTTTTAGTAGAGATGGGGTTTCACCATGTTGGCCAGGGTGGTCTCAACCTCTTGATCGTGTGAGCCACCACGCCCAGCCAAGAATTGTTTTTGTTTTTTTTTTTTAACCTAATTTTGTAAAAATTTTAGTTCTGAAATCCAAACTATAAAACAAGGAATATTCAGAAAAACCTACCTTCTATTTTATCCCTTTCTCCCACTTTCCTTTTTTTGTTGTTTGTTTGGGATTTTTTTGTTTTTGAGACAGAGTCTTGCTCTGCCACCTAGGCTGGTGTGCAGTGGCAGGATCTCGGATCTCAGCCCAGTGCAACCTCTGACTCTCGTGTTCAAGCAGTTCTGCTGCCTCAGCCTCATGAGTAGCTGGGATTACAGGCATGCGCCACCATGCCTGGCTAATTTTTGTATTTTTAGTAGAGACGGGGTTTTGCCATGTTGACCAGGCTGGCCTCAAACTCCTGACCTCAAGTGATCTCCCATCTTGGCCTCCCAAAGTGCTGGGATTACAGGCATGAGCCACTGTACCTGGCCCTTTACTTAGTTTATATATAACCATTATCATTAGTCTCTGGTTTATCTTTCCTTATTTTATGCGAAAGCAAATATGTATATGTATTTTTATATACCCATCTTTCTTATCCAGTTAGTAGCAGACTTTGCCAGGCATGGTAGCTCATACCTGTAGTCCCAGCTACTCGCGAAGCTGAGGTGGGAGGATCTCTTGAGCCTGGAAGGTTAAGGCTGCAGCGAGCCAATGTCGCACGACCGCACTCCAGCCTGGGTGACAGAGTGAGATCCTGTCTCATAAATAAATTAATTTAGTTTAATCCCAAATGGTGGTAGACTCTTCTACAACTGCATTTTTCATTTAACCATGCATCCTGGCAATTACTCTACAGCAATTCATAGAGATTTTTCTGTTTCCTATTTGAAACTAACTGACTGGTGTACTTTTTTATGTAATACCACAGTTTATTCAGTCATTCACCTAATGATGGACTTTTAGGGTTGTTCCCAGGTTTTCAATATTAGAAATAGTGCCATGATAAATAAATTTGTGCATACATCATTTCCTGTTTCTGCCCGGGTGCGTCTTTGGGCTAGACTCTTGGAAGTGGCATTGATGACTCTGCCAGCTTCTGGCCAGTGTGGTTGTCCTGCTTTGCATTCTCACCAGTAATAAGTGAGAGTGCCCACTGCCACACAGCCTTGCCAAAGAAGTCTGTTGTGAAACTTAGTTTTTTGTTTTT